ATCCCAAATGCCAAAAGTATATGTTATTTTTACATGCGATAACCGGATAACAAAACGTCAGTTCAGTACTTAAATTATTCGAAAAACAAAAGATTTGACTGACTGCTGTAAAGTTTTTACAGAACTTGATTCCTCACCGAAAACAATAATTACGGAAGGAATTCGTTTTCTTGTTGCGGTTAATGAAGATCCAAAAAATTAGTTGTCTTGATAAATAGCGATACCTAACTTTTGTAAAAAATACGAGAAACAAGAAACAAGTACAACTAACATGTCTTCCTCCAACATTTGCATCTGCTTTTCAACATTTGTATCGAGTATATTATCAAGTTCAAACATGCTTAGGTAATGAACTGAATCCAGAAGACTGGGGTTGGAAATTAATAGATAATACTCTGGAACCGATTAAAACCTTATTCCAACCTGCTCCAGAAAAACTCCTTAACACTATTTTTTGCAATTGCAAAAAAGTTGAGTGTCAAATGTGGATGTAAAAAAGTCGGGTTGCTGTGTTCTCTAGCGTGTACCAACTGCCAAGGTCAGTCTTGCTCAAATGTCCAGTTTAGTACAACAAAGGAAGACTCCTGTGATTTTAATTAAGAGATCATGACTCAGTAATAACTTTTGTTGCACATATGGGATCGATGGCGACTTTTAAAACTTTATTTGTTATAGTATACCCTAGCTCTCCACCAAAATTTGGCTTCCCGGCAATATTTGTTATTTCAAATGTCTATATAGACCGGATTATGAAACCACTGGAATATATGCGCACACAATAATTGCCTACGGTTTTAGAAATAAGATCATTATAAAGTTATTAGGAGAAGCGAATCAGTTTTAATTCCCATTGTCCATGCAAAGCAACCATGTCTCTTTGTCGATTTGGGTACTGGCCATTCAACCAAATACTTGTTAGGAAAAACTAAAAAAAAGCTCAGTTCTATTTCATTTTTGCAAGCGGATGAAAGTTTCTACAACATGGATCCATTGCCAGTAGTTGTTGTGAATTTAAAATAGAGTATGACTTAGTGTGCAAATAAAATGTGTGGTTTTAAATGTATTGAACTATCATCTGAATTTAATGGTGACAGCTTGACTATTACTATGGAAAAAGTTTTGAAAATGTGCAGTGTAAGTATGGATAAAGCGTCATACCACTCCTGCAAATTTGATTTCTCGAAAAAATTGTGGAACAAAAGGCAAATTAAGGATTAGTTTATCGAAAAAAACATTTTCTTCGAGAAAGATTATCTAAAAAGATAATTACTGGATACTGTGGCCGCATTTAGAGAGGAGTACGACAAGTACAAAATTAAAACAATTGCAAAAAAGTATGGCGTTAAGATATTGAGACTGCCGCCTTACCATTGCAAGCTGAACCCGATTAAGATGTCTGGAGTCAAGTAAAAGGGTATGTGGCTTCAAACAACGTCGATTTTAAAGAAAAAACGGTAGAACGGTTGGTAAAAGAAGCTTACCATCGCGTATCTAAAGAGCAGTGGCATAACTATGTAAACCACTTCAAGAAAGTAGAAGAAAAATATTGAAAGTAAATTAATTTATTCTACTACACACCTACCGCTGTGCCGACACTGCATTCTAACTGTGACTTCTACTGTAGTGCAACTACAACTAAACACAGCACAACAATGACCTTATTAGCCCAGTAGGCTAGGCTTAACTTGTTGCAAGTATCTGTTGTATATATTCATTTCTTCGAGTTCCAACTCGTATAAAAGATATAACGTATATAAAAATATCAATATACCAACAAAAACAAACGAAATGCATAAATTGTTAAAAAAAGCCTTTACTAAAATATTCTGTACATAAGTTGTTTTAAAAACGGCAAAAAAATAAAAGTACATGTATATATACCTACTTAAAAACAATTTTATACCCAAACTAAATATATCGACCTTACAGTAATCACTATACGAAATCGTATAAAAATTCCCAATGTGTATCAATATCTATTACTAAGTCCAATGCAAATACATGTTTCTTACACTACCTTAGTGATGACGTCAGTCAAAATATTTTGTGAGGTACTGATAAAAAAAACAAGTTTTCTACAAGTTTGTGATCTTATTTGGAAAAACTAATCAATTAAGAATTTTTAGATTAGAATAAAAAACAAGCATCGTGTCCCATTTAACATGATTATTCATAGACGAAATTAATCTTATAACACCCAAAATACCTGTAGAAAAATTTAAAGAAAACAGAAAAGTTTTTTTTTTAACTTAAAAATAAACCTAACCTCACTTAATGACTGTGTGACGTCACACTCAAGCGACGTATAAGAACTTACTTAGTTTACTCTTACCAATCAAAGTGTAGTTTGGTAAGATCTAAATTTTTTCTGATTGTAAACATTTATTTTTATGTGGAAGACTTCAGTATTCACAGTATCTACCAAACACTTCTAACAGATGCTGTATAAACACTATAACTTGCTCATTTCTCTTATTAAAGCACCAAATAAATTAGTTTGTAACAGATTCAATACTCATGATTCCACCTGTAGGGCATGCTCTTGAGGTACAAATACGCTTTGATTTGAATTTGTATCACGGTCTGACGACTGCCTTGCGTTTTTGAGCCTATAAAACATCTTTTACTTGAAAATTGTCTTTTTTTTTACAATATTTTTTATCATTCTAAGACCTACAATTATCTTGCGACTCTATAAAGTCTTCATAGGATGTTCAGTATTCTTCACACTGTCCACATTTTGAAGATTTCTAATTTCTTAATTATACAAAATGCAACTAAAATCCCTCGATTATTGTCTGTACCATAAAACTTTTACAATAAACTTTTACAACTAAAGCAAGGTACCTTTACATTGTTTGGGGTTATTTTAATGACGAAATCATGCAAAATGGTGGTCGGTGATCCCATTTTGTAAAATTATTTTAAATGGGATCATATGGCAAGTAATAATTCATTTAAAAGCTCTTGTATTGATCAGTGCGGTCATAGTTTTTCGTGAGATTCTGTTACGAAGTTTCAAAATAATAATCGTTCCAGATTCAATGGTGACAGTGTAAAAAAGTATGAAAATAATAGTATGTCAAGCTCACTGTATAAAACAATTGTCGACAGACAAACAATTGTCTCTTGTGACTCACGTTTGATCCAAGTGCTCTTATAAAACTCTTGATTTACTATATAAATCTGTCGTTAAGATACAATACTGCCTGCTATGTGTCATCTGCGAATCTTAAGTTTGTTCATTTATAAAGATATAGACTACAAAATTCGAAAAGGAAGAACGTTTAATGAAAAATCGTGAAAAATTCAAGATACCAGTGCAAAATCTTTTTCATTTCAATTCTCTTCTGTGCACAGAATAAAAATGAAAGTCAAAGGGTGTCAAATAAGGTAACCAATGAGGACGTTCCAATAATATATGTTTAATATTTAATTTTCTCATTGCCAGACGTCTTTGTGGACATAAGCGTTGTTTTGATAAAAGAGCTATTGCTGAACATAGGCCTCTTGATGCAATTGACTTCCATGTACAGAACAGATGCAAGTTAAAGGGTACCAAATCTGGTCATCTAAGAGGATGTCTCTACGATGTATGCTTAATATTTACCAATTTTCTCATTGCCACAGCACCTTTATGGACATGAGCATTATTTTGATCAAAATTTGATTCTTTTATTTTGCTCTCAAGCAAAGATACAAATATCTGTATACTGTTCTTCATTAGTTTTTTTGATCTTTTGGCAGGTATTCAAGTAAAATAATAACTTTGGAACAGCAAGAAATTTTAGTTAAAATCTTTTCAACCGCTGCAATTGATTACCGTGTACAGAACAGATGTATATTAAAGATTGCCAAATTTGATGACTCAAGAAGATGTCCCAACGATTTATACTTAATATTTCCCAATTTTCTCATTTCCACAGCATCTTGGACATGAGTGTTAATTTGATTAAAATCGGATTTTCTTGATCTCTCAAGCAGTTTTCCTTCCATTTTCTTCAGTTAGTTGGTTACAAAGGTCTGTATAGCGTTCTTCATTAGTTTTTTGATCTTTTGGCAGGTATTCAAGTAAAATAGTATCTTTGGAACAGCAATAAATTTTAGTTAGAAGCTTCTCAACTGATGCAATTGATTTCCGGGTACCGAACATATGCAAATTAAAGGGTGCCAAATCTTTTGACTCGAGAGGACATCCCAATGATTTATGTTTAATATTTTCCAATTTTCCATCCAACTTCTTCAGCTAGTTGGTTACAAAGGTATGTATAGTGGTACAGGTAATTAAGTAAAATAAACATCAAGAAACCTTAGCTATAAACTGTAAAACCGATTCAATTGTTATTGCTTTTTGAGTGCAGAAGAATCGTGCTTTTTCTCTCCATTCCTGGGACTGTTATTTTGATTCAGGTGTAAAATGATGAAGATACATAACAAACTGGAGCAACAGAGTTAATGGATTCTTCCTGAAACAGGACCGACATTGATGAAAATGGTCACTGATCTTCCTCCGTGAAAAATGTAGCATATGATTTCTTTGAGAGTTGGTTTTATCTGTCCTACACTTGGATCATCTTCGATCGATGTAAAATCATGTTTAGTCTGCTGTGTCTACTATTTTATTATTGATAACGAAATTTAGAACCTCTTCAAACACTTTTAGCATCTTGGAATGACGTTTTTTAGTGACAAACAATTAGAAACGAAGGAATTTTATGTCGTAACGGTGTACAAGTTGATAATTTAATTAAAAACAGATACAGTACCAGCTGTAACAGCTGTTTACAATAAAAATATGTATTTAATCAACATAAGACTTGGTTTTTATCTTTACTAATGTACTAATATAAAAAAGTAGCTTTGTTAAGAACAGTGACATCTGCATGTCAGCCGAGAACTTTTCATCTTACCCTCGTATACATACACCTTTAAGTTCACTTGTAGACCTAGAGGATCCTATTATACGAGAATTGTTTAAATAAATGAAGAAAAATACTTATCTACTTGTCTACAACCTTACACCTTTTAAGGTGGTGGGTCATATTGGATTTCTGAGCGAAAGTCTTCGGGCAATTGTCGCATTGGTATGGTTTTTGACCCGTGTGATTCCGCAGATGCAACCTGAGAACGTCTTTCCTGGCGAATGTTTGATAGCATATCTCACATCTGAAGTTTCTCTCCTTCGTGTGCGTATAGGTGTGCCTGGTCAGATCGTTACGTTTGATGAAGGTTTTCGGACAGATCGTACAAGCGAATGGTTTGTAACCGAGATGGATTTTCATGTGACCGTTAAGTAAACCTGAAATTAATTTTATATCAAGACTTTTGCAGCTATTTATGATTTTTGCGATTACTTTTCTTGGCCATAACAACAGTGGATACAATATTATGAGAATGTATATGAGCCTCTTCCCATATCAGTTGGCCCGCCCATGGAATTTGCAGTTTAAGTAGATTACCAGAAAAAAATTATACTCTGCATGTTTTTATATACTTCATCTAATTTACTTACAGTTTCACGTCATCCGCGTCATAGTCTGTGAGATCACATGATTACAACACGAAATATTTAGGCGGTAGATGTGTTCTTTTTTAAAATCACTTTGCCGAGTACACTGTCATTACAGCCACTAGACATATTTTATTATATACGCGTAGAAATAATATTTAAAGATTTCTATTAATGTTAACTTAAAGAAATACACAATATTATGTTTCATTTAATTTGTATAAATGCATTATAAAGCGTTTTTATGGAGAACATGTGTTTGAAACACACTGTAACTGTAATCGAACGAAGGTGATATTTTGGCATAAATTGTCACAATGGGATTCAATATAATGGAGTGATGAGTCCAGATTTGAAGTGTGTGTTGGAGACAGTAGGAGTCGCGTCATTTTCCATCCTCGCTGAAGAGAAAAGTCAAATTTCCTGCATCTGTCATTATTTGGGGCAGCATGTTGTCTAAAGGTGTGACAAAGTTACATTTTATATTCATATTTTTTATATCATATTTTTTCATACCTCAAAAAAGAGTTTAAAATGGATTGAAGACCATGGTATACCACTTCTGGAATGGATTAATATGTAATATTACATATTCTATGCGTTTTTTTTTAAATTTATTATTATTTTGTTTAATCAATAGTTTTCATTACGTTAAAAAATTCAAAAATGTTGTTCGATGCATTAAAGCTTCTAAAATTTACGCTGCATTTATTTTTGTTCTCTAAAAATTTTATTTTCTTATCAATCTAACGTTTTCCCACCTGATATGGGAAGGGACTCGTATAGATTCTTGTTATAACGGTCCGTACTACTCAAAACAACTGTAGTTTGCCTAGATGGGTCTGTATCACAAATCGGGTACTTTTTTGCTTATTTCCCTAAGCTATCTTAGATGAAGTAAAAAGGAAATATTGTGTACATAACTCACTCTCTCTCAATATCCAATAAAGTGTAGTTTTTGCATCTTAAAAATTAAACTGGATTTAAAAAAAACTTACCTTTGTAGGAAAACGATTTTCCGCACACATTACACTGGAACGACTTACTGCTGTTGTGGACTCTAGTGTGAGACGATAAAGATGTTTTCGAAGAGTAAGTTTTATTGCAAATGTGGCAACTGAAGACCTCAACTTTAATAACGGGATTTTCTTTTTTAATTTGCACCGGATTTCTTTTCTTATAATGTTTGCGTTGTCTTTCCAGGACTTGGTTATGAATACTGGTGTAATGCTTGCGTAAATAATCAACACGGGAGAAGCATTTTAGACATATTTTGCATACACAAGGTCTGTATCCTAAAACAAATACGATATGAGAGGGTGGTTTTATTTTTTATTTAGCCTACGCACAATTTTTATTATTTCTCTACATAATTTCTTTTTTGTTTGGTACATGAAGAGTCAGATAAAAGAGTTGCAACCCCTGCGTAACCGGTACCAAGCCCAGAATGAGAAATCAAGAGGGTAAAAAGGACTGATCTAGACCTTGGCATACTCACCGATGAAAATAGGTATGTATTACAAATACCAAGAAAGTCTCAAAGTAAAGAATACCTAACAAATAGTTAATAAATATTATCTCAGAAGGAAACAAAGAAAAGGATTTGGGCTTTGGTTAAAAATCATTTTTATGTCTTTTTCTCAAAAAATTTTCATTTGTTTGAATTGCATATTCAAAGAGTCAGTACTTATAAAAATTTCTAAAGATAATGACATCGACCTGGTCGCGCTCCAGGAAACATACTGCGAAACGGAAGAACAACTGCGAATAAGGGGGAAAATACTTGGTTTCGAACTACTGGGTGCTACGTACCATCGATCATACGGCACAGCAACGTACGTTAAACCAAACATAGAAAACATTGTCCTTGTTTTGGGAGTTTGTTCATCCTCCGCCTATTTTTAGTAAAATGGGAGGAGGATGAAGATCTATCGCTTAAGTTTTATGCTAAAGGCCGACCTACATTCATGTCAGCAGCATGGAAGAAGCAGTACAATCCTGATCTATGTTTTGTCTCTACTAATAAAAACTTGCAACCTCTAACAGTCTCTAGAAAAGAAAAGGACGACTTCCCACACAGCTAACAGCACCCAGTTATCTTAGAGGCAGGAACCCAGATTCCTATAATCACATCCTTCCCTCGCCCATGGTGGAATCCAAAGAAAGACATGTGGGGTAGTTTTTCTTTTGAAACTGGACAAGATCTAGGCTGGATACCCCCTACCATCAGAATTTATAAATCATATACCAAGAGGATACCGAAAAGAATACATTCCTGGTTGGTCCCATTACAGCGAAGAACTGTACCAAAATTTCCTTGAAAGCGTCGATCCAGAATTAGCCGATGAACTGCTCCATAGCATAGATGCAGCGAGACAACAAAAATGAACGAAAACTGCAGAAAGTTTTAATTTTCAAACATCAAGTAGGCAAGCATGGACACTACTAAATTAGGAAGCGGAACTCCCATAACAAGAAAAAAACAACAATTAACCCAAACACTATTGCCTCACATATGGTATCGACATCTAGGGCCCCGAAAGACAAGCCACACACAATCAAGGTAAAACGAGAGCTCAAAACTTTAAAACTCCAAACTGCAGAAACCGAATACTTTCCAAACTTACCGAACCCTTTCACTTGCGAAGAAGTCACTATAGCTCTCAAGTCTGTAAAGCCAGCTAAAGCCCCAGGTTTTGACAATATTCATATCGAAATCTTAATTAACAGCGGAAAATATGCGAGAGAATGGATGGCTCACTTTTTCATAGACATTATGAAGACTGATACCATACCACAGGAACTCAAACTCTCAAAAATCATTGCCATATTAAAACCAGGGAAACCAAATGATGAAACCTAAGAACTACAGACCAATAGCTCTACTATCGGTGACGTTCAAGTTACTAAAACGACTTATCTACAACAGAGTTAGTCCAAAGCTACTTAAATCAATACCGGCTGATCAGGCAGGTTTCCGACCGAAAAGAAGCTGCGAAGATCAGGATCTTTCACTTACCACATTTATTAAGGCAGGGTTCGAGAGAAAACTTAAAACTGCAACCGCATTCATAGACCTAAAAGCGTCCCACGATACACTCCGGAAAGAATGCATGATAAACAAGCTCCTCCGTACAATATCCTGTAAATCCACTGCTCGAATAATCAACAGCATGCTAGCCGACCGAACGATTCAAGTAATCATGGGAACCAACATCAGCACCCCAAGAAATAACTTAACTTTCTTTTCGCTCTTTCTACTTGATCAAATACTTGTCCACCTCTTTTATCCCTTTCACATAATAATTATGCTCGAACTTCTAAAAATAGGAAGATATTGCGGTTTAGACCTACTCGTTTGTTACCTATAGCCGTTCTCTGTTATATGTTTTTCAAAAGGAGCTAAATCTGGCGACTATGGTGGCAAATTTTATTTAGAAGTAAAATAGCGGTGGTTTTATCTAGCTTATCGGGAAGTTGATTTAAAATCAATTGCCACACAGAACTTGAATTAAATTTTATTCATGGCTATTTCAAGGTGCTTTGATTCCAGTGGTGACTCATTTTTATGTATTTTTCTCATTTATTGTCTACATAATTTAATTTTTTAGTCGCTAAACTTAATAAAATACTTATCCAACTCTTTTATCCCTTCCTAAAAAGTAATTTTTCCCAATCTCCTTAAAATAATGTAAAGTTGTGGCTTTAAGCTACTCATAAGTTACCAAAGGCATCCTACGTTTTATTTTTTAAGTGTGGGAACAAGATATAGTCAAACAGAGTTAAATCTGGCGAATAAGTTGGTTTTAAAATAATTAGAAAATTCACACAGAGCTTTTATTAAATTTTAGTCATAGTTATTTAAAGATGCTTTTAATATAGTGGTAATGTAGTTTTTTTAGTAAAAAATCGTAAAGAAAATTCTCATTTTTATGTATTTTTTTCATTGATTTTTAATATAATGTTATTTTTCTGTCGTTACATTTGAAAACATACTTGTCCAATTCTTTTATCCCCTCTGAACAATAATTCTGCTCTAGCTTCTAAAAATACGGAGATGTCGAAGCTTTGTTTTGCTCGTTCGTTACCGAGCGACGTCGTTTGTTCTATTTTTTAAAGTTTAGGGACAAGACATAGACACAAGGAGATAAATCTGCCGAGTATGGTGGCGAATTTTGATCAAAGGTGGAAAATTTCCACATATGGTTTTTATTAAATTTAAGTCATAGCTATATATGGATACTTTGAACCTAGTGGGGTGTAGTACATATTTTAATGGTTGACACAAACAAAATAAATAACTGCAAATTTTAGTGGTGTTTCTAGTTCATATATAACAAAACTTTTCCTATATAATTGAACTTTGAAAGAAAGACGAAACAAATTGTACATACCTGTATGGGTTCTAGCATGTTTTGCCAGATTGCCTTTGTGGTTAAAAGAGCGCGAACACTCCGCACATTTATAAGGTTGCTCCTCCTCTGTATGAGACCGAAGATGTACAGCCAGTTGGTTCTTGACGCAGAAAACTGCATCACAATATGGACATTTCACTGTCTTTTTCAAATGTTTCCTTAGATACATCTCACTAGATAAGGGCTTTGTACATCTTCCACATAGATACTGTTTCTTCTTCCTTTGCTTGTGCTTCGTTAGATGTTTTAAGTAGATAAGTTTTGTTGGAAACTTTCTAGGGCATGAACTACATTTCACAGGCAGTTGTTTGGTTAGATGGTGGCGAAAATGCTTATAGTACTCCCTTTCTTTCGTGAATAATTTACCACAAATGGGACAAACTACACATCCGGCTTTAAAATGTTTTTTGATGTGATCAACTTTTCGTTTGACAGTTGAAAAATCTGAAAGAAAATTATCTTTGTCATATATTTACCTCAATTTGACAGATTTTAGATTCACTAACTGTTTAAACAATATAAAAAATGTATTGCGAATTCAATAGATGAAGGTAAATATTGTAAGGAACAGGTATCACTGCGAATATTCACATAATAGATATGTAAATACATAAAGCTTTATTGGTCTTAATTTTACATAATTTCATCAATAAAAATTCTCAAAAAAATATGCTTAAGCACATCAATTTTACAGTATATTTCGTCGTAGTGGAGGTCAAGGGAGCCAAGCAACAATTTTATCGAAATTGAATTAGGTGCATAGGATGGATTTAAAACCCTCAAAAAATTCCGTGGTCAAAGGATTCTTCTATACTATTTTAAAATTCGCCAGTATATCTAGCACACACACACTTTAAAACAGTCAACGACAATTTAAGCCGCTTATATTCATCGACTTCCATAATTTATTTATCTCTATCTTAAAAGAATTCGAAGTCAACAGATCTGAGTGGCATATCTTTGTTGGCCACTCAATATAATGTTACCGGCCCACGCATCGGTTAGATTTAAACGGTTTTTACACTAATGATATCTTACCCTTACTAAGCAAATAATTAATAACTTCTTACTCTTACTAAGCAAATTTACAAGAATTTAATATGAAAATGTATTTTTATCAGTCGTTTGGTTTAGCTATCCGTGACTTGTGTTTGATTTCATTTTTTCAGTTTGTAAGTGTTTCAATTTTTCAATTTCTTGAAAATGTATTCGCGTGCGAAAAATATGGTTAATTTAGCTTTAACTAGTTTTCACCAAAATACAGAAAATCGAGATAATCTCAAAGGTAAGTGAAATATTATTTTTTTTTTATATTTGTTTGTATTGATACTTGAAACCTAACTAATATTTGTGTATTTAGGGTCCTGATGGACGTAAATGAAAGGATGAACGGTAGGTAATGATGCTAATTTATTTGGCACATTTACCTGTATTTGTACACCAAGTTATTACAATTTTAATTTTTTCAATTTTAAATTTTTAGTTAAAAAATCCTTTAACGACGACAGTGGTCAAAATTGGAAACCTCAAAATCGTCAAGTCCTTATAGCAGAAACTTCCAGTTCATCTGATAATGATGACAATAGTGTAGTACCATGTTCCGCCAGTTCTACAAACCCAACTGAAGAACTACTATCTCGAAAACAAAAGCGAACCCCAAACAACTAGAAGAGAAATTCACAAAAGACATTGAGAATGGCAGGCAAAGGATATCAAAATAGAACAGGGAATAAGATTCGAGCTAGGATGGTTAGAGATATTACCTGTAAATGCCATTATAAGTGCAATACCAAAATAGAAAAAACACAGCGTGAGCAAATGTTAAGTGAATCTTTAAGTCTGGATTCTGAGAGATCAAGATGGGTTTTTATTGGAAACAGCGTAAAGCATATTCCTGTGAAAAGAAGGTACTGTGGAGACAATAACAAACGAGCCCATACCTTACAATACACGTTAATGTGCAATGAGCAGAGGGTCCAAGTGTGCAAACAGTTCTTTTTGGCTAATACGACATCTCAAGCAAAAAAGTTGAAACTGCATTGAAAAAATTGACTCCTTCTGGTATTACGGAAATAGATCACCGGGGTCACAAAGAACCGTCCAACAAAAAATCAGAGGATGTGAAAAATATAATTAGGAAACATATTCAAGCACTGCCCGTAGTTGATTCACATTAGCAGTAAGAGAAACTATTTGCCATCTGGATTGAGTGAAACTCGTATTTATATGGACTATTTGGAATATTGTAAAGAAGTTAATGTTGAGCCAGAAAAATTCAGTTTCTACACATTGGTCTTCGTGTCAGAGTTCAACTACAGATTTCACACTCCCAAAAAAACATCAGTGTGACTTTTGTACACAGTACAAAAACAAGTCAGACGAGGACAAGGTAAAAGATGAAGAGGCTTATAAAGTACACTTGGCTCGTAAAGAAGAAGCTACGGAACACAAAAAAGTTGACAAGGACCACGCCAAATGTGATACAAATTTCTCTTGCTTTACTATGGATTTAGAAAAAATATTATTGACCCCTAAGTTTACAAGTAGGTCAACTATACTTAAAAAAAAAGTTGAAAACATATAACTTCACTATACATGATCTTGCTGCTGGACAAGCAACAAATTACATGTGGCATGAGGGTGATGGGAAGAAAGGTGCATCATAGATCGCCACGTGTCTGTGGAAACTTCTGGTTTCACTAGGTACCAAAGAAGTGACATTTTATTCGGACACAGCATCAGGACAAATAAGAAACACTATTGTATCTGCTATGTTCTTACGAGCCGTGGAGCAGCTACCTATACAAACAATAAACCAGAAGTTTATGGAATCAGGACACTCAAAGATGGACTGCGATTCTATGCACTTCACAATAGAGTCCTGTGGAAAGCAAGTTGACGTGTACACGCCAGAAGGATGGTATATGATCGCTCGCACTGAAAAAACAAGTCAATCTTACCGCAAGGTAATTGAAATGGATTATTCTGACTTTTTAGATTATAAAAAATATAGCAGCCAGGTAATTACAAACAAGTTTCAATCAGAACAGGGAAAAATGAGGTGGATAAAAGTTAAATCGATCCAGTATCGTAAAAGTAGCCCCAAAACAAATGAAAACGAATTTGACTCACTAAAAATTGAAAAAAGAAAGCGCAGAAGAGTAACCGATTGTAAAGTATCAAGTTTATATCTGTCGAAGCTTAAAACAAACAAACAAAAAAATAAAATACCTTTTAAAACTATGTGAAAATGAGAGTGTTCCATCTACATATCACAAGTTTTGTGAAAGCTTGGAACCAGAAGATCAAGATGAGCAAAAAAATCTCGATACAAAGAGTGATGATTAATTAGTAGTAATAGTAGTGTGCCTAACAGATGACAAATGTTACATAGGTGGTAAAAAATATTTAAAAAGCATATAAGGATCGTTTAATATAAGTCCCTAGAAAAGCCAAGAGTTTGTTGCATTAAGAACATGGTTGGTTTTTTATTAGTACACTGAAAAAAAAAGGAATATCAAAGATAATTGTTTTTTTTTTCTTCTGAATTTTGATATTTTGTAAAGTCTTTTTAAAGCGCCTATTTACAAGGCTCAATGAAAATACCTTTTCAATAATTTGACTTTGACAATATTCGCTCCGTGCGTGACCATGGTAGGGGTACATTGAAACGATGCCAGCGTGCGTAGCGGCAAAATATGACAAAATTGGAATATTGGACAAAATATTTTTACGCATAAATTTTATCAAAAATGTGTACAAATACATGTTGCGTATTTAATTGTGCTAATAATAGCAACAACAGTGAGTGTAGTTTTTATAGGTTCCCAAAGATTACATATAAATTAGAAAAAAGAAAAAGATGAATTCGTGCTATTAATATGGAAAAGTAAATATCATATAATTTCATTTTTATGCAATTGAAATAGGAAAAATTTAAATAATTTACCTTGAATGATATTTCATAAGGCTTCAAGCTAACTGCAGATGACTTTAGCTTTTATATCATAACTTTTACTATTATTGTTTTTAATTATATGCTCTTTTACGTGAAAAACTTGATTTGCCAGTACTAGATTTTTCCCTTTCTTTTCCGTTTGGAGTTGAAAAGATATATTATGATGACTTTTGAGATACCCAGTTTTTAATACTACATTTATTTTGTACATAAACTGAAAAAATATAGTTAAAAAACTAATTTATTAATAATTGCCAATTTCGCATGTATTTAATAATGTCAAACATATGTCATATGTTTAACCTGAAAATTGGGATTAAAATTGTCAGATGAAGGCGGTAGGTGTCGCGTCAGTCACGCACGGAGCGAATAGCCATATTAGTCTAGTTGCTGATTTTGTAAATTTATTGTCATTTTTTTTATTCTTTGAATTAATAAATTTTGAGAACCTAAATAGGACCATTTTTATAATATTATTTATTACCATTTAATGATAACAAGAATAGCTGATATTATAGATTACAACAAAATTTAGCTTTTCCACTAATAGTCAGTTACTCACCCAATAATTCTGCGGCTTGACGCTTTTAACTGCCACACAAGGTTCTAACTATTATGTTTCTATTCTGTGGTCAAGAGGTCTAATACACATATCTTTTAATGTAACAACTTAAACATGAATTAATTTATTAAGATAAGTAGACAGTTGTGTGTCGTCATCGATAATGTCTACATCGATTAAGTGCTAATTAGTTTTCAACTTCTAAGCAATTAAAGTAGAGTTTTTCAAATAGTAAGGAATAGTAAATTAAAGGTAGGATTGTTCTTTATATTTTAAAATGGATGATTCTTCGGAATGGTGGCGAAAAGCCACCCCCTGATAAAGATAAAAATATGGAGGCTGCAAGTGCCCGTTATGATTTAAATAATAGGTACAGATCTTCTGATAAAAGCCGGTATTTTGTTTTTGTAGAGTCCATCCACCTATTAAACGTTTATCCCCAGTCCGAGTAGGTAATTATTTATTCATTAATAACTTTTTTAAGAAAGATGTTGTCGATATTGGACTCGTCGGTAAAAATAAGGTGAAAGTAATTTTTAATTCTTACACTTGTGCAAATAGTTTAGTCAATCACGACATAATTATTTCCAACAAATTTATTGCTTATATTCCGAATTTCTTTAATCACAAAAAAGGAATAATTAGACAAGTTGATAGTTTTTTGGACGAAAATTATATGATGAATAATATTATTTCCGACCAAAAAATAACCGAGGTAAGACGTATGAAACGAAAGCTTATTGATTCAGATAATGAAACTATTTTTGTTCCTAGGAAAATGGTAATTTTAACATTTGAAGGAAATATTATTCCTCAATATATTCCGTTAGATTTGGTAAGGTTTCAAGTTGAACAATACATATACCCTGTAGTACAGTGTTTAAATTGTTTTAAATTGGTCATACTCTCAGACAGTGTAAGTCCACTTTCAGCTTATGCAAAAATTGTGGCAAAGAACACGAAGACAACTCCCGTTGTAGTAACTCACAATATTGTATTCACTGTAAAACAAACGATCATACGATTCTAACGAAACAATGCCCCGCTTATCAACATCAATATAATATTAAAAAATAATGACGATTGAGAATACTACATTTAAAGAAGCTGAGTATATAGCAAAAAATCCATCCTATGCCAAAATCACGACACATAATAAATTTGAATTGCTTAGTAACTTAAATAACTTCCCCCAACTCTCGACTGCGGCAAATGACCGTACAGTATACAATTCATTCGTTCCTAAACCTAAACAAAGTTCTAATCCTCTTAAACGAAAAGCCATATCCCCGACTCAATGTAAAACTGCCTTACAATTTCCTTCAACTTCTAACACAAAATCAGTTTCACATCCTTTAATTCCTAACCCATATAGTAATAAGTTTATGGCATATATACTTTCTTGTTTATCAGACAACGATAGTGATGGGGAATCATAGAACACCTAATATTCTTCAGTGGAACTGTCAACGTATTATAAAACAAAAGACTAATTTGCATAATTTTCTAGAAAGTCATACACTTGATGTCATTCTTCTGAACGAAACTTCATTGTCACAAAATAAAAATTTATATATTAAAGGTTTTAATAATGTTAGAGTTGATCGACGTGATGGCTATGGAGGCGTTGCTGTTTTAGTTGCAAACAACATTTCCTTTTCAGATATAAAATTCAAAACAAATTATAATCCAAATATAGAACAAGTAAAATTATCGATATTATGTGTTTACAAACCTCCTAAAATATATGTCTCATCCAAAGATTGGGAAAATTTATTTGGACAAATTAAAGGCAGAGTTTTAATTGGGGGCGACTTTAATAGTCATCACTGTAGGTGGAGTTCCATACAGGATAGTGCACAAGGTAATATTTTAGCTGACGCTTTAGACAATACTAATCTAATTTTACTCAATGACGGAAGACCAACCAAAATATCCAGACCAAATGAACGTCCTTCAATGATAGACTAATGATAGATAAACATTAGTATCTCCTCATTTAACAGACTCTACTACCTAGAATCCTCTAAATGACTCGCTAGGTACAATCCACATCCCTATCCATATTACCATAAATTTGAAATATTCTCCAAGAACAATCCATACCTCCACAAAATGGAAAGAGTCTTCAGCGGACTGGTCTATATTTGAAAATTACTTAGAAAAATGGCTTCTAGACACTCATTCTATAGATGTTACATCTTTGGAAATGTTTAATAACTTAATAAAAACAATTAGCGAAGCTGCAGACTCTGCTATGATTACTCAAAAATCATTTCAACCAAATCCGGGATTACCACAGGGGTCTGTATTAAGCCCAATTCTCTTTAACATATTTTCGGCAAGTATACACGACATTTTTGTTGATTCCATAAAATGTATACAGTACGACGATGATATTATGTATTTACTCCGTCCGTGATTCATATGAATATGATTGTGTGGAGGTCCTGGAATACATCATGAAACTAGTGGATAATTGGACTAAAGACCACGAACTTACTATATCCCCAGAAAAATCTGCCATTATGATATTTACAAGACATAGGTTACGTACGCCTGATAGTCTACACCTCTCAGGATATGATATACCCGTTGTCACTGAGTATAAATATCTTGGTATAATCCTAGACCCCAAATTACTATGGTTTAAACATGTCCAATACGTAAAAAAAAAAAGATGTGAGAAAGGCATCAATATCCTTAAATGTGTCACTTGCAGGAAATGGGGTGCTGATCCCAAGTTGCAGTGATGTTTTACAGGACCTACGTGCGATCAATTTTGGATTACGGATGTGTGTTATACGGATCAGCGAGCAAAACACATTTACTAAAAATAGATCGTATTCAGTTTAAAAGTTTGAGATTAACTTTGGGTGCTATGAAATCAACACCATGCCCCTTGTTACTTGCTGAAAGTCATGAAATGCCATTAGAAAATCGTAGAAATTTATTAACAACAAAATATGTATTAAAATTAAGGGCTAGAACAAGTGGCTTACTAAGTATGAATTAGTCATACAAAATCTAGTAAACAATTATCGGAGAATAAAAAATTCACCACCATTAGCAGATGCCTTTCTGGAAACCAATGATTTACCGGTTACACTTTCAACAAATTTTATTAAACCATCTTATAAATTAAGCTTATTATTAAAAATAACAAGCTTTTGAACTCCATATTAAGTGAATATACTAATAAAATTATAATTTACACAGTTCTAAATTGAACGATGGGAAAGTAGGGTCTGCAGTGTATATTCCTTCCAAAAACAAATCACTTAAAATAAAGCTTCCTCCACATTGCTCTATTTACACTGCGGAAAAAGTAGCTATTAGGAAAGCTCTGAATTGGCTAGAGCACGCAAATTTGCAAGATGCTGTGATCATCTCAGACTCTAAGTCAATTCTTAGTGGACTTAGTTAACATAATACTGAGTTACACCATAAAACATGTGAGCTGATATGTGACATTAAACAAAAAATGAGAAACAAAGATGTAACATTTATTTGGGCAAAAAGTCATTCCGGGATAAAAGGTAATGAAATAGTAGACAAGCACGCTAAGGATTCTACTCATTCAGGTATACAAGAACATATTTGCACAGTATCAGACCTAATCAATTTTTATAATAATAATAATATTAACTGGCAAGACAGATGGAAAATATTGGCGAATACTTCAAATAATCATTATTACAAGATCCATCCTACGTTATCATCCCTAACAGAATTACCACACATATTCCATTATAATATATATCTAAACGATCAGCAGCAACTATCACAAGATTAAAAACTAGTCACGGTGCTGTTCCTGCTCACCTGGCTAGATTAAACGTCATAGAATCAGGAAAGTGTTTATGCGATAATATTTCCCAGTGTGATTTTAATCACATCCTGTTTGGATGTATTAAAAATAAAGCACTCTCATCTAAGTTTTATGAAAATCTGGTTAAAAATAATGTGCAACTTCCAGTAAACATAACCCACCTACTGTCATTGAATCAGAAATCATATGTAATCACTTATATGCATCCGGATACATAATATAAATTTAGGACAATCAAGTTTTAATTGATAAACATAAAAATCTGTGGCAAAAGGACTAGTTTCCATGCCAAACACACTATCATCATCATCAAGATAAGTAGATATACCTAATCTAAAATCAGGTACATTCAAAATTTAGTCAAAAATTATATAGTCAAATATATAGTCAAATTTATACTTAAAATTTGCAAAAACTAAGTAATTTTTTCACACGAAATCTTTGAGCGCCCGTTTCTCAGGATTTTACTTTTGATTGAACCCATTGACCTCCACAGCGATGATTTAAGCTAATAATTAATTTTAATAACACTTATACTGGTACATTCAGCATCAACTTTTTTATTCAAAGGATAATATTCAAAAGGCTGGTATTTTTATATGAATTAAAAAAAAATTGGACTACGACCATTGGAAACAATTTAGCCATTTTTTCCAAAAAGTTGAAATAAGTTTATAAATCAACTGTAAGGAAATAAAAAGTAAAGTACCACATGCAAATTTCTTAGATAATATCGCATGATTGTGTCTTGAAGACATATACAATAATAACTATGAGAGTTGCAGAAAGCAGAAAAAATTTAAGTAGTAAACAAACAAAAACTTCACTTACATTTAAGGCACACCAGGCATTTAAAAGGTTTGGCCACTTTTTGTACAAATGATTTCCAATATTGAGCAACGAATGGGACTTGATATCTGCATCGTAATCTTTGCTTCAAGTGATTCACTAAGTCTCTTGTAGTTTTAAAAGATCTTCCACAAACTGAACACTTAAGAGGTATGATTTCATCATAGTTACATTGAACACCTTCATCTTCAACTTCACATTTCAGCACAGGATGCAGATGATAGTCCTCTATTTGAATTTCTTCAGTCTTTACATCAAAATTGTTATTATTTTCAAATTTAACAGAAGCATCTTCATTTTTAAACAATGACTCTGTTTCATCAAATATATCATCTTCATCATCCTGCAGAAGTTCCTCTTTTATTTCAATGGCCTTAAAAATTGCCAAATCTTTTGAAATTTCTTTATTCAAAAAATATCTTCAGTAGCTTGGATATAATTATATTCATATTTAACTGGGGTTTTGTAATTTATAGACTCTTTGTTACTTTCAACAATATTAATAAAATTTGATACATTTTCTAATTCAATAAGGCACTGGTTACATATATTATAATCTTCAGAGCGGTTGTATTTTACCTACAAATATGAGAAGTATATTTAAATAGCACATGGCTGAATTTATTAGTTTTTTAGATAGGAATCTTTAATCTTTTTAAGCCACCCTGTATAGACAAAATTTTTATTGTTTAGCTATAAAAAATTGTTGGGTCAATGGTGAGTAGAATATTTAATGTGTATACAGGGTATTTGGTAGGTCAATGGAAATTTTTTAAGGGATAATAGGGGACGCCATTTGCAAAATTTTTTGCTAATAATGTATCGCTCAAACTGTTAAGGCTTCCAAAATAAAGTTAAATTTGTCAATATTCGAAAATAAGGCTGCTTGTCCATTTTATTTTTAAAAATAATTATCTAAGCGAACGCATGAATGAAACGGATAAGAAAGGTAAAACACAACAACGATACATCATGCTTTTTGCAACATTTGTTATTCCTTATTAAGTATGTACACTTCCCGTCATATAAAACTGGTACACTTTTTTTTCATTCTAAACCAGTGTTCAGATTTTACACAATGAATTCGTGAATCAATTCGTTGTTGTCATCGCAGATAACGGAATTGCACTAAATCTAAATAAAAAAAATAACGCTAAAAAATGTATAAAGTGTTAATATTATAGATATTATTTTTATCATTACCAACAAGAAACGGTATCTAATAAATTTAATAACCAGAGAGACTGTTAAGTTAATGTCCAAAACGTTTGAAGAATTTTTTAATGATGGAGATATGACAAAATATTATTTATCTATGGATATTGTTTTAGTTATTAGTATACTAAAAACTTGACGTCTGTCGCACAGCCTAGCCCTACTTTTAGCTGGTTTGATATAATATATTCGTTGATCTGGCAATTTGTTGGCCTAGAAATAAGAATGACATATGTGACAAGAACAACTTACAAAGCTTGAAAAACACGATTTTCGGTTATAAGAGTTGTACCAGTTTTTTATGACGCGAAGGGTACATAAACTTCAGAAAAGTCATGTTTTTCAAAATGAGAACCACCATTCCTAATGCACGCTCTTGCCCTGCGTCGTATTTCTGATGTGGTTACTTTTAACCTCAGTTCTGCCCTTATAATGTCAGCTGCTTCGATAATCCTTTCCATTAAATGAGCTCTAGTTCAGATTGGAACTTGATAAACAAATTCTTTGAATCTGCCCCAGATGTCGTAGTCACACGGTGTTAAATCGGGCGATCTAGCAGGCCACAAAATCGGTCCAGTTCGTCTGATCCAACTATTGGGATAGTGATTGTTGAACCAAACCGTAACAGCACATACACCATTCTTCGTCTGAGGGCGAGGGGTAAATCTTCTAAGAGTGGTGGTGGAATTCATTCTCTAGAAAGTCTAAGTACACTTGACTATTTAACCAGCCTGGAAAAAGTAAGGTGCTATTAACTCTCGTTCGATAACTCCTACCCAAACGGTGACACTAAATTTTTGCGGAAAAGATGTTTCTTTCGGTAGATGGGGATTGTCATGTACCCAGTAATGCAGGTTGTGAAAATTTGTTATTCCTTCTCTATTAAAACTGGATTTATCAGTCCATAAAATACTTTTAAGAAAATTACCATTCTTGATGTCAGCATCTAACAAAAAGTGGCAAAAATTTACCCTTCTAATTATATCACTGTCTTGAAGACTTTGTACTGGCGTGTAATGATAAGGGTAGCGTCTATCGTTGTGCACTACCGACCAGACGTCCATTGCAAGACATTTAACCATCGAGCAACCTTTTTGATGCTTGTGGTAGGATCATTCGTAACAGCTTGCAAAATTTGGGCGTCTACACTAGGACCGTAACGTCCAGGATTAATACCGGAAACAGGATTGTTAACACTACCAGTTTCACTAATTCGTCAATATGTGCTAATAAAGACAATTACATGGGGAAGTCGCCGGTTAGGGTAACAGCGCTGATATTCTCGACATGCTGCAGATGCATTTCTATCACTCCAGTCATAGAGAAACAGAATGTCTACGTACTATGCATTCAAAAACGAAGCCATCACAACTAATTCATAAATCACATTATGTAGATACACAGTCTGGTTGTTCACTCAAACACAGTTCAACATCGTAATGCACAAAAAACTTCAAACACAATTCGGATGTCAAAACAGTAAAACGCACCTTTCATATGCATACAATAACCATGTTTATAAACCAAAATAAACCCTTTCATAGGTAGGCAGGTAGATTGTTTTTTGTTTGTTATGCGTTTGGAGAATGACTATAGCTGATGAAAATTTTATGCGAAGAGACAGTGTTATAGGTTTACATTTTTATTCTATTCGTAAAACAGGGAGGTTTTTTAGGGACGCCTAGATAATTTTTAAACATGAAATAGATGGTTGTCGAATATAGACAAATTTAACTTTATTTCGGTAACCTTAACATTTTGAGTGATACATTATTAGCAAAAAATTTTGCAAATAGCGTCTTTTATTATTCCTTAAAAAATTTCCATCGACCTATAGTAGAACCCAAAACCAAAAATAATGAAGAAACAACAACAATAATCTTCTTTGTTAAGTCCTCCCTCTGAATATTAACATATTCTTTAAATATAAGTATACTGCTCCATATTTCATTCACTAGCAAACTACTGCCTTTTCTTAAGGATTGCATATATAACGAAATTATTATTATTATTTGTTATTCTGTCTTTAGCTCCCGTTGTGTTACAACATACACACTAGGTTCAATTCCTTCTGCTATCCTCTTAAAAACATTTCTTCACTTATGATTGGAATTCAGATATTTAAAATATTTCAAAAAGAAAATGGTTTTATAAGAAATTCATAAGAGAATATAAATATTACCTCTCCGTAAAATATACTTCTGAAAACATCTAATAAATGTGGAGGAAATGAAATTAATTTTTCAGACTGGAAACATACTTTACATACATCATTTATATTATGATCTTTTGAGTTTCTCTTCCTTTGTGTAACATATATAAATTGACATATTTCTTTAAACCGTTCAAAACATACAGCGCAAAAATATCTTTTTATTTCTTGACTGGGACTGGTCTAAAAATAAAAAAATCTTCAGTTAGGTGCAAATCTTTACTGTATATCTATACTTAGATACCTCTAATTTAAATAGTTTTAGAAAGACATCAACTTCCTCCAATTTTTCTGATAAAATAAATAAATTTTCTTTAATTGCACATACAAAACAGGCACTGGGATTGCTTTGGTCTGATATATTTTTATAATATTTATCCATTATTAAAAATGTTACAAGTATTGATTAAATACTAAAATAAAATGGACGGACTTTATATGTGATAATTGCAGCATAAAAATACTGCAATACATTGTAAACTAGATCATGTTTATTAAAAAAAATGTAAATTATGTAAATTTTAAAAATATAACAAAAACAAATGTAAACTTTTGAGAGAGGGGGTCAATGACTTGACACATCACCGACCATATTTGACATGAGTGCAACAAGTTTTCTTCTTCGTTCTTATGTGGCACATTCTCTTCCCAAATTAGTTACGTAGTGCGCCACATTAAAGGATTCTATTGGCCATATAATTCAAATTTAAACAGTATCATTTTATAAACTTGTTCGAATATATTTTCAAAAAAAATATATCTTTAATCTTCTGTTCTAAATATTAAACTCACAAAGCCCTAATTATTTTGACAGGAACGATCTGTACTGAAATATTAAGTTGGATTTGACTTAAAAATATATTCTAATGAATGTATCATGCAAATAAAATAATTGGATTTTAACCTTTATAAATTTAAACTATTTTGTTAATCACGATACTTCTTTCTTTTATTTTACTGTACTATAAAAAGAGAGAGAACTATTAATTGTCGGGCATGCGCTCTATCGAGTGCATCTCATGAAATTACGTATTTTTTAGCGACAGAGGAGGAACGGATTTCGGAGAGTACATTTCGTTGTTGAGCCTTCAAGATGGCTACCAACGATAGTAAAGCTCCGTTAAGGACAGTTAAAAGAGTGCAATTTGGAATACTTAGTCCAGATGAAATTGTAAGTATTTTGCACTTTAGACGTTCCTCTTCAAACTGGTAGTATTTTTAAATGACCAATATTCTCTTTAAGCCTGTATTTTAGAAGTTTATTTCTTACCTTGCTGGTAGACGTTATGTTGACAGACAAAATACAATTGTGAAAACATCTTGTGAAATATTGAATGTTAAAAACTTTTCCCCATATCGAATATGTGTAAATAAATAGTTTAAATAAAATGAATTTGAAATATATTTTTAATATTTAATGAAATAAGGTTGGATTAACCTAAAATGCTCTATTTAGATGTAAAATGCAAATTTCTGTTTGTGTTGTCCTAGGTTTCCAATTCGTTTGTAATTTGGAGAGGCAAACTGATAAGATTGTATTATGGATTAGTTTTTAGTAATTTACTTACATGATGGAAATTTTTGGGAGCTGATGTCATATCTTGGATTGTACTTGATTGATAGGGAAAGATCATTTATTACAATAAATACTGAAAATGTGAAAGGAGATGAAAATTTTATAGAAGTAAGATAAGAAATTGGTGGAAAGAAATTATACAAAAAGGAATCCATAAAAATATTTATAATGCAAGTGGCTCCCTCTTACATAGAAAATATGAACTGCTAAGCAGTAATGTGGTAAATAATGGAAATACCCATTATATTCATAAGAAAATATTACAGGGTGAAACTTTAGTACATCAATCAAGGTGTAAATGTTAAGAGATACTCATAAGACATACATGCAAAACGGAAATGAGTAATTCGTATCAATGAAATATATATAATATATACCAAGAGACTAGGTATAGGTATGGGATGAAACATTTAAGGATGTGATAAGCATATATGTTTTAAACAAGTTTATATGTATTTATTAGGATTGTTTTATAAATATATACATATGTAGTTGTTTTATTGGAAGGAAACATATATACATATTTTAAAAGTATTTACTCATAGGTATATGTTTAGCGATTTTTTAAAATAATATGGTCTTATTGAACTCCAAATGGTTAGGGTAGCTCAAGCAGTAGAGTGTTTCACCCAGAAGGCCAGTGATTGATCCCCAGGGCCAGCGAAAATATCTAGATTCTTTTTAAAATATTTACAGACACCAGGTTGACTCAGCCTGAATAAAATGAGTAGCGTGGGTAAAACTAGGGGTAATAGTATGCTCTTGAATCATAGCACTGGTCTTGTTACCTTTCTTGTATACAGGAGACCCACCAGGTAGTAGACTACCCTGCTAAGAGACTATTATAAAGTGTATTCAAATATTCCACTTAAATCCTATGTGGAGTGCATGTGTGCTAGACATACTAATTACTTTAGGTTCCATGCCTTATCTTGGTTTTAGTGGCTTTTTTATTCGTGTATCCCCTTTTATTTTGTATCAAAACCACATGTTCTTCTATTTTGTCCTTCTTTTTTATTGTTCTAAGTTCTTTACCTTATAACAAATTAAAAAACTTGATAAAACAAAAAATTGGTAGCAAAGAATAAAATGCAGTGTACAAAAATATCATAGGAAATTATAAAATATGAAGTCTAATCAAACCAGAATAGACCAAGTAAGCCAATTCTAAAGGTAAATGTGATTGAACATTAATAGTTTTAATTTCATGTACAAATATAATAAATTCATGTGAGTTTAATTTGGTAGCAGCAGATGCATTTCAATATCTTAAATAAAACATTGAAAAATGTGTCAAAATAAGATTAAAAAGTTGGTTTTTTATTTAAAATTTAATGAAGAAACTAAAAATGAATGTAAATTGGAAAATCTCAAGTTTTTGTTCACAGAAGTTTACATAGAAAATATATTTCACAAAGTATATTAAGGCAAAGTTGTGAAAATACAAATTCAACACATTTTATCTTTGATTTTGAAGAGTCTTTGTTAGATGATCAGATGACTTTTATCATGGTAAAGAATATGTGAAAAATTTCTGATATTGGATTCCTTATTAGTATATACTCACCACACTGTAATTATTCAGTAACAACAGTTACACTTGTTTTGTCTATTAGACAACAAGTTGTTAATAAAAAACGAAAGAAATGAAGGCCAAGATAAAAATGACAAATAGAAAAACATTTAGTAGTAACAATTTTAATTATTTCACTGATATTAAGATGTAAATCATTATAAGCAGTATATTAAAAGAACTATTTAGAGAATATTCAAGCAAATCTTTCAAGTAATCTCTGCTCTTTTTGGATGTATGTTAGTGCTACACAATGGTCTAGTGCTTCAAACAATTATTGATTAACAACATGGATTTTCTAGGAAGTCAACATTAACAAACCTTGTCAACTACCAACAATACTTGTTGGGTGCATTTGAGAATAAAATTCAAGTCTACAGCATTTACATGTGATTTCTCAAATGCGCTTGACCAGGTTAATCATAACCTTTTGGTCCACAAACTTCATGCATCTGGCTTTGGTGACCCCATTGTTAATTGGATTAAAAGTTTTCTGATGGGACGTACACAGCAAGTTTGTATTAATGATTCTATTTCAAAATAATTCCATTGTTGTTCTTGTGTCCCACAAGGGTCTCATTGTGGTTCATTGTTTTTTAACTTGTTCATTAACCATATTGATGAGGCTATCAAAAACTCACACTTTCTGCTATTTGCTGATGATCTTAAGTTATTTTTTTTTGGTTACATGATAAATTGGATAGAGATCTCTTGGAAGATGATGTAAATAATATATGTTTATGGTCAAAACAAAATGGTTTAAGCTTAAATCCAACTAAATGTTCTTTCATATGTTCATATATAATAGATATGTTCTTAATGATGTACTGTTGGATTCATGTTACTGAGATTAGAGATTTGGGTGTATTATTGGATTGTGCATTGACATTTAGAAGCCATTTTCAAAAAATTAAGGAAACAGGATTTCGTAATCTTGATTTGATTTATTATAACAGTCCTGATTCTCTCACCTATTGTATTCAAATTATTGTACTGCTCTCTAGTATGCTTAGGTCTTGAATACAGCTCTGTTGTTTTTTCCTCATTTCATCAAGTCTACATTGATGGATTGGAGAGTGTTCAGCGGAAGTTTCTAAGATCTTTAACTTTTAAAGCACATAATAATATAAGATACTGAAAATTTTTTCATTGATTATTCTGTAATAATGTCTCAATTTAACATAGCTACACTGAAGATACACAGGTTTAGAGCTGATATGTTATTTTTGGTTAAAATTCTAAACAATGTTATTAATTGTCCCCCGTTATTAGCCAATGTGTACTTAAACACAATAGATAGAACTCGACACACTGCACTCTTTTATATTCCTTTTCATAGGACTGATTATGTTTGTAATTTCGCATTGTCAAGAATGCTCAGCTTTTGCAATGACCTCCTATTGGATCCATTCTGTGCAAACATTAATGTTTTTAAAATGCAACTTAAGGCAACTTTTTGTGCTTTGATATACTGTTTTAATGTACAAATTTTTACTGTTTAATTGTTTCTTTTTTATTGTTTTGATGTTTATTGTACATGATCTTTTCCTTTTACTATTTGTTGTATTTTATTGTAAATGGTTCTACCGTTAAAATAAACAAATAAGTATTCCTAATTATATTTTACTTTCCAGAGACGAATGTCAGTCACAGAAGGAGGCATCCGCTTCCCAGAAACCATGGAAGCAGGACGCCCCAAACTATGTGGTCTTATGGACCCCAGACAAGGTGTCATAGACAGAAGCTCAAGATGCCAGACATGTGCCGGAAATATGACAGAATGCCCTGGACACTTCGGACATATTGAGCTAGCAAAACCAGTTTTTCACGTAGGATTTGTTACAAAAACAATAAAGATTTTGAGATGCGTTTGCTTCTTTTGCAGTAAATTATTAGTCAGTCCGGTAAGTGAATCATAATATTTGAAATATCCTTCGTTACTAATTTTTTTTTGTGGTTTTCAGAATAATCCGAAAATTAAAGAAGTTGTAATGAAATCAAAAGGACAACCACGTAAAAGATTGGCTTTTGTTTATGATCTTTGTAAAGGTAAAAATATTTGTGAAGGTGGAGATGAAATGGATGTGGGTAAAGAAAGCGAAGATCCCAATAAAAAAGCAGGCCACGGCGGTTGTGGTCGCTATCAACCAAATATCAGGTTTGTTCATTTATTATTTCCTTATGCGTCACTTCGTATCATTAAAAATGAGCCATCTAAAATTTTTGGTATTTTTTAATTTTACGAACCCTATAAATTGATTGTCATTAGATGTTTAATGTTTAAGATCCAATCTCTACGAATCGTTAGTATGTTTTTTGTACCATAAAACTACTGTCTAGTCATTTCTCTTTGACACATTCCATTATCAATCAAAGTAACAATTTGAATAGATCTAG